AGTAAAAGGATGACACTTAATTAAATAGCGAGTAACATGAAAATGAATTTTAGCAGACGGTTTAAAAGATGCTAGCTCTTTAGAGTAGTGCCTGTTATAATATGGCAACAAGAGCAGGTTGAACTATGGTTACAATGCATTTTTGCACCTCGTCTAAAAGAGAAAGGGCATCATTGGAAGATCTGTCACAGATATAGCAACAGTATTCCATACAAGAACAGGTTTGAGATTTATAGAGATAAAGAATAAAATCTGGAGCAAGCCTTCCCGGGAAAGGCATGTGGTCGCACATCTTATATGTCCACGCCAAAAGTATTTTTTTTAGACACACTGACCATGGCAGTTTGTGTCTTTTAACTTATAAAGCATTTCAATAATTTGCGGCAAAAAGCTAAACTTATTTAATTAGAAGTAAAAAACAATTCTTAAATAAGGAAACAAAATTGTAATGAAATATTAAGTTTATTAATTATTAATTAATTTATTAATTAATGATTAATAAAGAAAATTTATTAATTAAAAAAATAAAATAAAAAAAAAAAATTTTTATAAAATTTTTAAACAACTTTTGCATTCTTTTTTCTAAGTCGTTGTTGAAAAAAAGATTTTCTTTTATAACGATTTAACAACAATTGAAAGTTTTGATATGCAATTTATTCACAATATTTGTCAGTCCATATAATCAAGAAGCTAATTTGCTATGTACGCTAGAACTATAAGCAATTTTGTTAATTTTTTTTTCTTACGTTTATTTTTTTATTTCATTTATTTGTTTTTATGTTGTTTCACTTTTAAAAAAGTTTTCGCTATATTTGACATTTTTTCTCAATACTTATATAATAGAAAAATGAGAAAATAGATTGTTACTTATTTGTAAAAAATATTATTTGATTAATAAATTTTGTTAATGACAGAACAAGTTAAATAAAAGAATAATATAGTTTCTTTAATAAATGTAGTTATGACATTTGATGCATGCATGAATTTGTTCCTATTATATTGCCCAATTTCCAATGTTATTACGAGTTACTAGAGATAATGACCATAAAGATTGCTCTGTTTAAAAAAATGAATTCAAAAACTTAAACAAAAGATTTAAACAGGCTCCTAAAAAATTCTTTGAGAAAAAGAATTGAACGTAGGAATGAGTTAGACAAAAAACTTGAAATTTTCATAAAAAATAAAAATTTATTTGAAAATCATTTTGTCTCTAATTTTGATACAAAATCAATAAATTTTGAGTAAAATTCATCTAATGATTCTTTTTTTGAAGTATCTAGTGTAGGAGATAAAAATTTCTCTGTGCCGTTAGCAAGAAGAAAAAAAAGAATCTCATGAGCTACACCTGTCAATAAAAGGGGAAGGATTAATATAAGCGACAAGTGAAGTTTCTGAAAGATTTCATCTAGGTGTAAGTGGTCACATGGATTTTCTTTCCTCAATTCTAAAGCATGCTGGGCATAATTTGGGAAGATATTGCTTTGTCAAAATCAGAAAAACTTTTTCCAAGATGAGAACAGACTATATAAGATTATGTGAACTAGGTTCTTTCTATTTGAGTAATAAAGTATAAAATTTCTACCTTCATCAACCCCCTGCTTGTCATGAAGCTAGATTATTAGCAAATGGGATATATTTATTTATGCTTCTAACTCATACGAAACTGAGATGTAAGTAGAGGAAATACAAGATGTCAACAAAATTGCACCTTTTGTAGCAATATTTTCTATCATAATCCAGGTACCACCTAATGATCTCAAAGCTATTAAAATAGCCAAAAGCATAGAATAAGAAGACAAAATACAAAAGTTTGAAAAATTATCTTCTTATGCATACATGAATCATTAACAATAACATATATTTTTTTTCATACTCGTTCTTAATATACAAGATATGTTGATTTGGACTTCTGATAAAAAATTTGTTAATCTTTATCTCAGCTTTAAGTTTTTTAAAGATTTTGTTTCAAATATTCAGTGCACAAATGACTGCTCTGAAAGAAATATTTGTCTAGTGCAAGAACTCCTGGCAGACAGTCATAATGAAAATCCAAGACAAGACTACATGGTGGTTGCTAAAGAGAAAAAGTGTGGATAAAAGAATGAAAAAGATTGGTTTAAACTATATAACTTCTTAGAAAAAAGTATTTTAGATTAAATGTAAATATTTTTCATTTTTAATCAAACAAAAAATATTTTGAACCAAAATAAACCGTTTTTTTCTTTGGATTGTTTTATTATCTAAATATTAAACATTTTAAAGAAAAATGAAAATCTACACCTAACACTTCCTGAAGGTTTAAAGATCTAAAATTTTGCATTTTTTTTTCTTTATTTAAGGTATACAACCAGTATTTTTGGTGTACCATCACTGAAACATTATTAACATAGTTTTTCAAATTTTCTATCAATAAGTAAAGATTGTTAATGAATAAATGGTTAAAACTAAGCTAGTGTAAAAACCAAAAGAAAATGCTTGTTTAAAGATTTTTTTCAAGACAGAATGTTTCCAAAATTTTAAGGCATAATAAATAACGCTCATTATGCATACATACTTGTAACATTAATATTGTAATAACTTTAAATTGTATAAAATCAACCTTAGTATCTTAGAAGCAATATTTTTGAAAAAAAGATAACTCAATCATAAAAACCAAAAGCTATTGTAAAAAACTAATTAGAAGGGAAGCTTGCCAGGCTTGCCATGTGTTTCAAAAGAGCATTTTTCTGTTCTCTCACTCATTGCCTGTATATATCCATGCCATGTGTTTCACAAGAGCATTTTTTTGTTCTCTCACTCATTGCCTCTCTACTACTAGACCACTACCGCATATGAGAGAGAGAAAGAGAGAATTTTGAAAAAATTATCAGAAATTTTTAGAAATGTATATATATACATACATATATATATATATATATATATATATATATATATATATATATATATATATATATATATATATATATATATATATATATATATATATATATATATATATATATATATATATATAAATATATATATATATATATATATATATATATATATATATATACATATATATATATATATACATATATATATATATATACATATATATATATATATATATATATATATATATATATATATATATATATATATATATATATATATATATATATATATATATATATGTATATATATATATATATATATATATATATATATACATATATATATTTATATATATATATATATATATGTATATATATATATATATATATATATATATATATATATTATATATATATATATACAAATATATATATACATATATATATATATATATATATATATATATATATATACATATATACATATTTATTTATATATGTATATATATATATATATATATATATATATATATATATATATATATATATATATATATATATATATATATATATATATATAAATAGGTATAGATATATATTTTAAATGTATTACCAATTTCTCCTTTATGTCTGCGACCATATGGTGCACTTTCAAGTATTTCATAGCAAATACGAGTACGTTCTGTATCAGTAAAAAATGTGCTTGGATTTTCATTACCCAAAAACCTTTGAAAAAAATTTGAAAGCATAGCAGTTATATAAAATTAGCTAAAAAAACCAAGTCTTAAATTACAAAAAAAAAATAAAAATCTTACAAATGAAATTTATCCCCTTGAAAGGTAGCTTTAAAATAATCTGGAGGATTTACAGGAACCTTTTCATAAAAAGGATTAGGTAAATGAAATTTGGCTAGTATACGCTCAGACCAATTAATATTTTCTGCTTGGCGCAGCTAAAAAAATAATTTAAAACAGATAAAAAAGTAAAAAATTCAACAAATATTTATAAAACTACTTATACTCACAGCCAATGGAGCTTTAAAAGATAGTTCCTCAGCATATGATTTCAAAACATCAAAAGGACAATGACATTTAATAAAGTGCAGGATGTTTTCTTTATCATCACATATTTCCTAAATATATAAAATAAGTATGTATGTATGTATGTATGTATGTATGTATGTATGTATGTATGTATGTATGTATGTATGTATGTATGTATGTATGTATGTAAGTATGTATGTATGTATGTATGTATGTATGTATGTATGTATGTATGTATGTATGTATGTATGTATGTATGTATGTATGTTTGTATGTGTGTATGTATGTATGTATGTATGTATGTATGTATGTATGTATGTATGTATGTATGTATGTATGTATGTACGTATGTATGTATGTATGTATGTATGTGTGAATGTATATACACATATATACAAACACACACATATTACGTGAGTATATATATATATATATATATATATATATATATATATATATATATATTATATATATATATATATATATATATATATATATATATATATATATACGTATATATGTGTGTGTATATATATGTATATATATACACGTATATATTTATATCAAAAACAAATATTATGTTTTTCTAATTTAATTAAGTATAACATTTTTTATTATTATTTTTATGCTAAATAACGCCATGAAAAATTTTTTCAGAAAATCTTGAAAACTTAATAAAGGGTTGTAAAATGTCACTGATATAATTGCTTATTTTCTATAATGCCACAACATACTTATGAAAGTTTTAAGTAAACATGATTTAAAACTTTTGTGGTTTGTTTTATGAATTGAGAATTTTATGATTTTTTTAAGAAATGTTTTTTATGATTAGCATAAGAAACATTTGGTAATACATTGGTGTTTCTAAACTTGTACATGCAACTGTATATATATAATATATAGCAATAGTACATAATATATATTACAAAGTATATAGCAATCATATACATACTTCTTCCATTTCAACTTTACTTCTTTTTATATTGCTAAGAAATCTTTTACGAAAACTAACTACTTTTGTATCAAGGATCTGTTTATTTTCTTCTATATATACCAACACAAAGTCTAAACAAATTATAAATTCTTCAAAACAAAGAATAAAATAAAATTAAAAATTAAAAAAACGAAAAATTGAAAAAAAAATAGTAAAAAATCTAACAATAATTATAAATAATATTCAAATAAAACTTTTAAAAGCTTAGAATACAATTAAACTTTTTATCTACTACTAATTAATTTTAAAGAAGTAATTTAATGTTAAATTTTTGAATATCACCTATTTTTCTTTTACCATCACGAAAAAAGGTGCCTCTTTCTCCACTCATGTCTTCATCATAGATTTCCTAATTATTACACAAACAAAAAATTATAAATGATTTTAAGTTAACAAATATTTAGTATTTCTAACATGATATCATCATGTTAAAAATGCTAAAAAGAGTTTTATTTCAACAAACCTTATAGTTCTCATTTTCATTTGACTCATAATAAACACCTAGCTCCTACAAAAATAAAAGTTTATAACATTAAAAAAAAATTGCTGTAAAAGTAAACTTTTTAAAAACAAAACAAAAAAATATTTTAAACATTTTATTTTGTTTTGTATTTTAAAAAAATTACTTGTTTTGTATTTTAAAAAAAGTAAGAAATTGATACACTATGCACAAAAAATACTGTTTATAACAAAAAATAATAAAATATGTTTTTTGCAAATTTTTTGTTTTTATTGTGGCATTGATTTTTAGTAGAGTTTCTGCCATATTTTAATGTTGGAGAGTTTTCACAAATATAATTTTGCATAATGAGAATCTAATAATTTTGCATAATGAGAATCTAATAATTTTGCATAATGAGAATCTAATAATTTTGCATAATGAGAATCTAATAATTTTGCATAATGAGAATCTAATAAGGAGTGTCAACTATTGGTAAGAGTAAAAATAATTAGAATCTAGGATTATATTGGAAAAAAAGTTATATTTAACATTTTGTTTATAAATATTATAATTAAGATTAACTTGATTAAGATTTTTTGAAGCCATCTTCTTTTCTGTTTGATGTTGTTCTTTTCATTTAGTTAAAGTTTTTATTTTTATTTTTTTTTTATTAGATTCTCTCAAAAGCACACAACTACTTTGCTTTTTTTTATTTACGACTTATCAAACTCTTTGATTAAAAAAAGTTTTACTTTTAAAATTTTCTACCTTTATTTAACTGCTTTTTTCTTATTGTCCAAAATATTAATTTAATACTATCAATGGATTAGCAAGCAAAATAACCATTAATAAGATGTGAGACAATACTAAATTTTTTTTTCATATATTCTACAAAAAGTTGATTTTGGAAAAATATTACCCAAGGAATTCTACTTAACTATAATTAACAATTAACAACTATAAAACTGGAAAAAAAATTCTGAATTCAACAACCTACTAATTATTAGAACAGCATGTTAAATTAAATTTATTTTAATATTAAATTTTCTATAAGTTTGTTTTTGGAAGCATTTTGTGTCTTGTTTAAGTTGAAGTTTAAATTTTTAAACATTTAAACAAATAACAACTTCTGTCTTGCTCTATTCCATTGGCAACAAATGTTAAAGTCACTAACACAAGGCAAATATACACAATACAAAATAACTTGTTTATTATTTAGGGTGTTAGCCAGGAATACATTTTTTACAACGTTTTTGCAATATTGGGAATATTTGTTGTTATTGTTCTACAAAATATTAGGAATTTTTATTGATCATGATTATTGAATTTTAGGAATTCCATGTTATACATGGTGCCATTGAGCTGGTTAAAACCCTGGTATTGTGTATATTTTATTCTTATTTCTTTTACATAAAATTATTTAAACAGTTAATTTCCAGTTGTTACATTGTAAATAAAACATAATGATTTAAAATATTATTAAAGTTTTTATGCTGAGTCACATTTCAGTTTAACTCTACATTAGTAGCTTTTTGAGCTTGAAAGATTAACTTTTGATCCATTAAATTAAATATCTGTTTATTCTAACAAGACAAGCAGTTTTCTTTGCAGTTTTACTCAATTTATGTGTGATATTTTGAACAAAATTATGATGGAAATCAATCTGAATGCCTGCATTTTTCACGAAATCAAAAATTTATAATGTCAGTCAAGATCACTTTTACATAACAGTCTAAATTTGATAAAATATATATCATTTTGTTTTTGAATTTAAAATAGGTATGACCATGAGCTTTTATAAATTAATTGAAGTTTGCTATTTTTTAGGCATTTACAAAGTCATTTCAAGTCTTGGCTTAATTGATAAACAGATATGTTAAAATTTCTATCCTATTTGTTATTAGCAAATAAATTGATAAAAGAATTATTTAACTTTCGACGAAATACAACTCATGTATAATATAAACAAACGAGCTCCATGTGCTCTCCTATATGGAACCCCAATCCTATATTAGATTCACATCATTAATTTTGACCGCTTGAGTTCTTATTTTAAGATATATAAACTGATTTAGATCTGTACCGTCAAATTAGTAACATATTTAGTAAGAACTTTTCTGTTGATTGTTTTTCATTTTTTTTTAAAGTCTAATATTACTATTAGAATAAATTTTTTTTTTTTTTAAGGCTTTCTATAAGGAAACCCAGTAAGTAAGAGACGTAAAAAACACGTCTTTCAAATGTATTAGACGTCTTTTAAACGTCTTAACGTTTAAAAGACGTTAAAATATTAAAACGTTTAAAAGACGTCTTTTTACGGTCTCCTTCCTATTGGATAGATATAATTGAATGTTTGATTCAATTTATATTTCTTTATAAATCAAAATGAGGCGTGACATTATTTTTAGAATTGTAAAGAAGAGAGTTATTTCCATTTAGAAGGAATGTCTTTACGCACCCCCCCCCCCAATTTTTTTAAGGATTTTTTTTTTTTTTTAAGAAAATTCAAGCTATAGGGGACTTTTTTTAGAAATTGTTGATTGTGCCCCTCCCTTTTGAAACCCGTGTCGTCGCCCCTGGTATTATATAGAGATTAGTTTCATGAACTTTTCTAAAATAGTCAAAACCCGGTAGCAAATGAACTAGCGACTAACTAACGAACAGCTTTTTTTAATAGCTAAAATTTTTTTGAGCGATTTTTTTTTCTCATTTTATTGTTTCATTTTGTCTTTAATGTCTTAAAAACTTTGATTGTTATTATTGGACGTAAAATATTTATGATAATAATTAAACGTATATCATAGGAATATTATTTTGACGTGTCACTATCTAGATATCCCAGCTTTCTAGCTATTGATATTATTATTGGTATATCGTTGCTACATATTGTAGCATTGCAGATGGTGACAACATAACAATAAATCTGTATTTAATCAATTACAACAAATTTGTATTCAACAACGTTCAGATTAGAAAAATCAAGCTTTGTAATTTTCTAAAACATAGTATAGTCTGTATTGCTAACTAAAAAGCAAGCAATATTGACTATACACACCACAGCAATTTTAATGCTTTTTTAGCAATTTTAATGCTATTGTATTATTATAGCTTACTATAACATAACGACAAGTCTGTATTTTTTCGATAGCTGCAATACGTTAGCTTTGTAGCTATCAACATGGTTTTTTAGATAAAATTAATAATAATTTTATAATTAAAAGATAATAATGATAAAAAAGATATAACTACAAAAAAAAAAGAAAGTTTGGTTGGTATAATTAGAAATCTAGCTTTATTTGTACATAATGTGTGTTGTGCCCATTTGGCTTACGAAACACAGTAAGTAACAGAGTGCTTGCTTTTTTAAAGTGAGAATGCTTGTTTTCTGGCTTTTGAATTTAACTGATGAAAAAGTTACACGGGTTGATTTCTTTATTATATACTGGTATAAGCCAGTATAAGCATCCAATTTGCTATACCCATGGAATACACTTAATGCCTAATACATTGTAAACATTCTTTTTTAGAATAACTGGTAGTTTAATAAGTACTTTTCAAAAAAAGCCACTCAACATATTCACCTCATCCAAAGAAACAAGTGATAAAGTCAGCAGTTGCGTGAGTTTTCTATGACGTCATCAAAGATAAAAATAACCTCAATTACAAAAGTGAAAGTGTACTTACAATCTATTTTCACAAAAGCCAGAACAAAAATTTACTTATTTTGAAAATCCCTAGTTAAATTGACGTCCTTCAAGGAGAAAGTAAGAAACAGCATGGAAAGAAGGATTAACTTATGCTTCACCGCAGAACAAGATAAAACAAAAGTTTTATCCTTTTAATAACTCAACAGTTCCTTAAGGATTCAATAAGAAAAGTAATTTCTCCAAAAAAATTTACAGTGATGAAATACTAGATATTTTACACGACATTACTGCTTCTCTTAAACCAGTCAAGTTAGCAGATGAAGCTGTTTGTCGACAATATTCAACTTATCTTACTGCTGATAGAATACAACTCGATTTACTGCTCAGAGAATACAACTCGACAAAATCCAATTTGTTTTACTGTTAAGAAAATTTTTAATAAACTCTTATATAGACTGAGTCAAAAAGATTTAACTTAATTGCAATAAAAAATGGAAGTTTGGAACTGAATTAGCAACATTTTCATATTAATAGAGAAACAAATTAGAAACAAGAGCACTGTCAAGATTGATAGTTAATAGTTTTTAAAAAAAATCAAATTATGAGCAGTAGCTTAAATTTTATGCTGACTGAATTTTCAGACTGGCCCTCCACGGCTGTTTCACGCAATGTAAAATTGGGCATTACGTCACGAGTTTAGCAAAAACAAAATTTCCTCATAAAAAGTTTTTTAAAAATTTCGGTATATAAAGTATAAAAATTCAATAACTTTAAAGTAAAGGTTTTTTTTTTCTATAAACGCTTTTGTGTTCTAATAAAAAAAAAATGAAACATTTATCTTTCCTTGTTAAATAAGTATTCTGATTAAACGGAATAAAAATAAAACTTGTAAAAATTTTGCTAATGATTTGGGATCACTTTTCTGTTTTTTTGCGTATTTTAATGAAAACCTGTCTTGGGCCAATCAAGATTAGATATTTTAAGCTACATGCTTTATGATTGAAATTTTACATACTTATAAACGAATGTCTATTTTATCAGATTTTTGGTGAACATTGATAAAAAATAAATTTAAGTTAGATTTTTTAGCTTTTATATTTTTGTTATTACTTGTTTTATGTGAAAAACGTTATATTTTTCCCAAGTTCACCAAAATATTGAAATTACAACCCTTAATTCACATGAAAATCAAAAAAATTACTTTCTGTACTTCTTACTAAAACGTTTTCAACCTTGACAAAGTTTGTAGCTTTTAGCAACAAAATTTGTAGTTACATGCGAAAAATTTTTGTTTACATTTTAAAGCAATAACGTAACTTTAAATGCGTTACTTCCCAATTCACTACTAAATAAAAATTATTAAAATTTCTTTTTTAGCGAGACAAATTTTAGTGTATAAATATAACAAACTTTGGCGGG